CGTTATGGATAAAAGTAAATATTGAAATTTTGTAGGGCATGCTACTATAATTATCTATGCCTCATCTAAAACTATACCAACTTTTAAAGACATGGCACAAAGCGCACGATTCTTATGAATTACGCCTAGGCTATAACATATTTTTTAAAAGCAGATTAATAATTAATAATGGGGAAGTTACAGATGGTTAAGTTCTTCGTGTCTTAAGAAAACTGGGGTAATAATAGTGTATCAGAAACGTCAAATTATTAAAGGACGTTAGCCGCAAATTGAATATCACAGTATAATAATTTTATGAAATTTTGTTTGGATCATCAATTATTTTATGATCTATCTGTTGAAAATATCTTTTATTTTAAGTTTTTCAGCGTCTGTAATTTTTTAATATAATTTTAAAATAACATTTTCTATGATTGAGCTAGAAATTAGTTATTTGATTTGAGCTCATTTCGTATTTTATTTTCAATATTATACATAAATATTAATACTCATAAAAATTTAGGGATTTTCATATCATCTCTTCTTGTTTGTTTTTTCTAGCAAAAAGCTAATCATAATTAAATTTATTTATCTTTTAAAAATGGAATAAATAGAAATAATCTATTTTACACAAAATGATAAAAGTTTATAGTAGGTATACTTTAATTGGATAAGCATTTCATACAACTTGTTCGATTTTTTCTTGCATACTCGGTGCGAGAGAAATACTTTTAGTAAGGGTAAGGGTTGACACTTGCCACTTGCCAAGCTAAAAAGTCAAGGTACAACATAATATAATACGTATACATAACAAGTGTAAATTAAAAATTTAAAAAAACCGACTTCAAAAACGTGCAGATGCCATCACAACATCTTAACCAAATTTATATGGGATCACCCTTGAGGTACCCCCTTACTAACAAAAAAAAATCATATAAATCGGACAAGGTAGTAAAGCATTATCGCTAAACATATATAAAAAATGAAGAGTTTGAGGATTTTCTCATGGACCCAATTTTAGATTTTGACCAAATTTATATTGGACCTCCCCTGAAGTAGCCCCTTTCTAACAAAAAAAGAATTATTGAAATCGGACACCGTGTTAAAGAATTATCGCTGAACATACATAAAAAAAAAAAAAAAAAAAAAAAAAAAAAAAAAAAAAAAAAAAAAAAAAAAAAAAAAAATCGCGACGAATTGATAACCTCCTCCTTTTTTGAAGTCGGTTAACAAAGTAGGTAATAATATATGATGTTCAAAAACAAATTGCACCCGTTTTTCCAACTATTATTATACGCTTCACTCTATCTAAAAGCGTATCAACGTATCAACGCATCAATGTATCTTATTTTTAAATGCAATCTTAAACTTTTAACAGCATTTTGCCAAATTTTTCTTATTACATTCTGAAATATTATTCTTTATTCTCAAAGGCTAGCCTTCAGCAAGGTTTCTTTTGATCCCAATGTATTTATTCTTCTAAAATTCACCAAATTTTGTGTGGATATGGACAATCAAATCGAGTTGTATATTTTTTTACGACCCACTAACGAAAATCTACAAATTTAAAAAATTATTTTAGGTTATTAAAACAAAATAACTAATTTTAAAATAATTCATGAATTTTACTTATTTATAAAATAAAAGATTTTATTTAATTAGTCCCCAGCCCAGATTCGATCCCGGGTTTATCGCGTGGAAGGAACGCCCTCTTATAGGATTTTGATTTTAATAATTAAATTAGTTTCATAAGATATGATTAATTTTTTTTTAAATATGGACCAAATACAAATAAAAAAACTTTTTTTTTATCCAGTCTACAAAAAAATATCTCATTTTAATATATATTTAATCTCAATAACTAAAAAATATACGGGCAATTAGTTTGACAGAATTGTTACTTATTTGAAATTTTAAAAATATTAGTAGTTGGGTGTCCAAAATATGAACTGTGATTGGTGGATGTTATTTTTGGCAGTGTTCTCACTACCCAGAATGGATAGAATGGATATGAAATATATTTGTTCCGTTGAATGCAATAGCAAACTTTTTCGTTTTGTAATTTTTGCGTAGATAAGCTAATATCACTGTGGGTGCAGAAAAAATTATTTTCAGTTATTCTTCTAATAAAACTGCAATCTTTTTTTTTTTTTTTAAGGTGAAGAGGGATAAAAAGTCCTTTATATCTCACAAGGAAAGTTAATGTTTATTTATTCAATAAAACATTGAGTGCGACCGGTTTCGAAGTATCATCACTTCATCTTCAGGCTCGCCTAGTGGAAAGGAGAATATGTGGTGTAAGGTGTGTTAACTTTGAGCCATCGATATATAAAATAGTAAAAAGAAAACTCACCATACTCTCCATCCACTAGGGAATACAATAAACAAGTTTCATCAAATGTGGGGGATGAAATAAATTGTAAAATAAACAATGTTACAAGTTATATAAAAGTTAAAAATATTTGAAAAACAAATATTAGTCAGTTTAAATAGTTAAAAATTTAAAATTTTTCAAGACTATACAAAACAAAACACATACATTAAACAGATTAAAAGAGAAGGCTTATTTTAAACACATTGTTGTTTTTTTAAAAATAATTAGTAGTGTTACTTAACCTAACATTTTTGAAAGGAGACCTGTCAAGTTAAGGCCTCTACAGGTGGTGGTAAGTAATAACAAAAAATTCTTGGATAAACTTATGACAGGGTATAGGTAATAAGATGCAAACTATGAGTGAAGAAATATTTATTATTTATTATATAAGATTTGGGCCATGAACCAATTACCAAGTGTATGTGATGTTGTAGGATAAAAAAGAAAGAAGAAGAAATTACTGGGTTAACTGTTGTGAAGCAACTGAAAAATGAAAGAAGAAAATGACAGAATATGAATATCACATAACCTAATCTTTAAACATGCTCGTTGGTTTTTTGTGGGAAAAAATTACTTAGTGAAATGTACCCCTTGCAAGAAAATATGTGAATAGAAATAAAGGAGGAGGTTAAAAAGGAGTCAAAACGATAAATTTAGATTAGTGTTGAGAAAACTGGAGGAGTTAACCTACAATATTTTTAAAAAATACTTTTGTATTACATATGACTTTTTTAACTCGTTTTGTTAAACTTTTAGTAGCGCTTCCTTTATGGAAATAGTCAAGGTGAGTCAAGGTTATTGTTTAACTTCTTTTGTGTTTTTTCTGTTTTTTCTGTTATTTTGTATATGTTAAAGTCCGTTCATGCTTTTATAATTGTTTTTTATTACAACTGACTCCTTGACATTCCATTTAGGTGTGCCTGATGATGAAGTGACAGCTTCGAAACCGGTCGCCAATTAAATTGACTTGTGAGAAATAAAGGACCTTTTCTTTAACCCTTACACTTAAGTTTCTGACATTATCTGGGCATTTAAGCAACCAACAGGATTTAATTTTAAATTTCTCAATATCTCGCTTTCGAAGCTATTAAGAGTAAATCTATGGTAGGAACTATGTAGGATTTCGAAACCTTCAGTTGAATCGAAGTCGTGATTTGAGTCTAGTAGGTGGTTGGCAAAATGTGAAAATCCTGTTGTATTTTGGTTAAGACAACGCAAATGTTCTTTTAAACGGATCTTGAAATTTCGAAATGTGCGTCCCACATAGAAAGAATAGCAAGATTTACAAGTTAATTTATATGTACTCATTCACGCACAACTTCATTAACCGCCATTTGTAAATTGAAAACTGATTCAAATTTTATTCAACTTTTGTTGATCTAATAAAATAAATAAATAAATAAATACCTTGTATATATAAGTTTTTTAAGTTTTGTATGTATATAATGGAAAATATTGTGAAAAATAAGAAATATGTCTTTTTGAAAAGCAGTTCATAATTTTGAATGTTTTGTCATGTTCTTAAATACAATACGAGTTGAATCGTGATTATAAAAAATCCCGTAAAGCCCAAAATATGTTAAAAAAAATAATTCCATCAGTCCACAGGAACATCAATTTAGTTAACGACATATTAAGTGCACCCACTTACATGCGACTACCTATAATCGCATATTTATAAGTTATAATCGTTATATGAGACTCTTTATTATGTCACGAATCAATAAAATTGAAAAGTATTATTTCCTAGTCAAATTTGAAAGAATAATTTGACAGTCACGTACTGCTAAAAATAAATATTTATTATTCATATTTTTTTTTATTGGTGTCTTCGGCTTCGACAACTTAGATCATTAGTCTCGTCTTCTATGTAGGTTATGGATTGTACTAGTAGTCTAATACTCCATAGTGCAGAAGTGCTAGTACTCTAACACTCCTGCACCCCTACATACAGGCCTTGTTGCTGTTTCCCAGCGCCACTTTAGGAACAGCACCGTTAATTAAAACCAATCATTGAATGGTCGGAGTGGGGAATCCTACTTATGCATCAGAATTATTTTTAAATAAATTAATTAAATTAAAAAAATCCCAGCCATTGGGGGATTCGAACGCGGACCATACGTTTCGAAAGTTTAGACTCTACCACTGAGCCACCCACCGCCAAAAATTTTAAGACAGGTAATAAAACATTTAAAAATTCAAACATTTTAAAATAAAAAAATATACACACCTAATCAAATCGTCCGAAATGAAGACAAATAGCAATGTTTTTTGTTTTCAGAAATAATATTAAAATTATCTATTGGAACAACGCATGTCCGTATTCAAATAATAAAGTATTTCCTCCTAGGTATAATTTAAATATGACAGAAAACACAAACAAAACAAACTTTTTTACTGACCAACCAACGTCCCATTTAAAAAAGATAATCAACTTTTAAGTCGATCGGTATCCATTTAAAAAGAAATTGAAATAAAAATAATCATATTTTACTGTTTTTTTTTTAACAGTTCCACATTAAATCGTCCAGTATTAAACTTTCAAATGCATAAACATCGATGAAATTATTCAACATTACATAACGAACCAACCAAACCGGTACGTTAATCTCAATTTAAATATAATCAGAACAATCAACGCACTTACCTTATGCAACGCCTTAACCATGCCATCTTTTTCCTCCTCCAAAAACACCAAAAATCTCTTCAGCTGGTCCTTCCGGAAGTTCAGCGAGCGTGACTTGCCCGCCACGAAAGCCTTCCGGGCCGTGTCCACTACATCGTTGGCCGATTTCTTCATCATATCGTCCTCTATGTCGATGACATTCTCCCAGGCATTGCCGTTCATGTTAATATCAACATCACCGTTATCACTTTCTATCTTTGCCATTTTAGATGCTTGGTTTGCATCGGTAAAGCGTTCGTATTTGGAATGATGTGTTTGCGGGAACTATTTAGTGAGTCTCGTGGATTTTGTATTGAAGAGGGGTAAACGCGCATGTTAAATAGATTTTGGGGATAGTGCTGCGATGGAACATTGCCGTAAGGGGTGTAACAGGATGGCGTTATTTCAAAACAAATTAATTTTAATGCAAGAAAAAAATTAAAACATAAATCACAACGTTAATTATTATATTGTTATACAGATATGTGCATTAAAATAAATTCTTAAAAGTGCCATGCATCAGTATTTTTTGTTTTCAATTTTTATTATAGAGGGTGTTCCAAATAGGATTAATCGATTTTAAATACAAATGCACAGTTTATTAATTGCTTTAACCCTTTCGTTTACGCATTTTTGTTTTTTAAGATAAAAATCTGAAATAAGGACAAAATATTGCTTTATTTTTGTTAAATTTTTTGGTGTACTCAAAAATAATTCTCATTTTAAGGGGGTGTGATTTGTACAATATACTGTACATTGTGAGCAAACGATATATATGACTTATACAATATATTGCACATTTTGAATAAGCGATTTTGTAAAATAAAATGAAATTAAAAACAACACAAGGGATAAGGGTACAACTAATCATTTATTTGTGTGATATAACCGAAAACAATATTGTTTTTTTGAAATGCATAAATACTTAGTACAAACAAAATTTGTCCTAAAGTCAATTCAGATTTCATTTACGCCGCGTCAAAACAATTTCTCCCATCCAGCTACAGCTCACGTGACATTTTTTTGCGCTCCTATTGGTTAATCGGTCGTTAGTCATTTAGACGACGCGCAAATATTTTTTGTCAGAGTTGAATTCAGCTCAATTTGGATAATTATAAACGGCGTTTTGGTAGCATTCACCGTGTTTGTTAGTTTGGACATTTTGTATGTTTGATTGATTATAATTCATTATATTATAGTTTAGATATACATATATTGTGTTATTTAGTTTTTTTTGTTTTTGTGGTTGTTGTTAGTTTGAACATGTTTTACTTTATTTTATGGACATTTAATTGACTATATTTTGTAATTGCTGCGTGACACTATGTCCTCCACAGATACAGCAGATGAAGTCCAGAAAAATGTTTTTACTCCTAAAAAGCGACTGAAAAAGGGACATTTGGTCATCCGTACTAAAGAAATGGTTCTTAATATTTATAAGTATTAAATTTTATAGAACCCTGATATGATGGTACATGATGTTGAAAGGAGAGTTGCTGATAAAACAGGGATGTGTGCTAAAACCGTTTTTAATGTTATGAAGGAGTATACCTAGGCAGATTTATAAATTTTCTGAACCAAAAAGAAAGCTACGTTATAAACAACCATCTATTTTGGTAATCAATTTCTCTGACCCAATGTGGATTCTCTGTTGAGTAGTAGTGGCAATTGTGTCTATTTACTATTCCATTACTTTTAAATGTTGACTCGTCACTAAACAAAATGTATTTTAGAAAATTTGGTTCCTCGCGAATGAAATTCAATATATTTTCGCAATAGCAAACTCTGGTGTCATAATCCCTTTCATAAAGTTCTTGATGTAATTCAATTCGGTATGGATGAAGTTTATTTTTTATCAATATTCTGTTCACGGAAGTGTGATTTATATCCAGCTCTCTTGTAATTTCCCTCGTACTAACATGAGGATTCTCTACTGTTGAAAGGATCACCGCTAATTCATTTTCTTCATTTGTTGCAATTTTGTTTACTACTTGCCTTTTCTCGTGGTTGACACTGCCTGTTTCGTCAAATCTTTCTTTAACCCTCCGAAAAGTCTCTGGTCGTATAGACCTTGAATCAGGGTATCGAACTGCATACATTCTACTGGCTAATAAACAATTTCTATCACACTAATCCAAAATGTAGATCATATTTATCATTTCTTCGGTGGATAATTTCATTTTGAAGCGAAAAATTATTAAATTTCAACTATAAATTATTCTCCTCCTCGATAATTAAATGTCAAATTCCTATAACGTTCAAATGTTTCAAGGGTGATTTGATTTTTCGCTGTATTACAAGATCAATTTTAATGAAAGTTCGAAGAGCAATTGTAGATATGATTAATTCGGGCATAGCTTAAAATGTGAGATTGTTTAAACATTTGCTGTGAATATACGCTTTTTTAAATAATTGTTCGTTTATAATAAATAAATAGTTATTGCTTTTATAACTTTTTTATACTTTCCTTAAGAATTCGATACATTTCCGATAAAAATCAAGTAGGCAAACCCTACATTTTCTGAAAGCTCATGGTATGGGCTATCCTGGTATGGCCTCATTTACAGGGTGTTCCATTTGAAAAAACTGAGAAAAAAGTGGTCCCGAGTTTTGGTTGCCCCTGTATGGGAAAAGCGCCATTTGGTAAAATTATGAATAGGAAATGAAAATACACTATTTTCGAGAATATTCGGCAGAAAAAAAATTTATTCCAAATCATTGATTTAGAGAAATTTGATGTTGAATAAACCCATTTTGTTACCTAAATCCCACCATAAATTCCTAACCACCCAGTATAAACCCATACAACCCTATATTTTTAAAAAACACTCTTCCAAAGAAATTTAATCGAGTAAAAATATATAGGGTGTTTCCTTTAAAAAATTATTACTTTGATAACTCATACATTTATCGGACACCCTGTATATTGGTAATTTTTGGAACGTAGCTATCAATGCCCTCTACAACTTTTATTTGAAGCATTTTTTCCTATCTCATATAGGGAAGCAGCTATTGTTCTCCCACGCATCGTTGATACACCCTGTATATTTTCAAAATCAAAAAGAAAGGAGCATTCCAAAAAATAAATAATATACAGGGTATCACATCAAAAAAAAATTTATTCCTGCGCATCCACTAATATATGTACGCTACTGTATTTTTGATAGCATTTTAACGAAATTCAGTAATAACCACACAACTTTTATTTAAAACTTTTTTTTCTATAGGCAATAATAACGATGCAAAGGGGTGGGTAATTTATAATGAATAACCCTGTAGATTCAGGGAATTTGCATCTGGAAGAAAAAGATTTTACACCTATTTTCATATTTTCATCATCATCATCATCAGTGCTTACTTCTACGTTCCTATCTCCTCACTCATAATCGTCATCGTTGTCATCACTATGACCTTCAATATCTGATAGGCCCTCTTCAATTAGTTTTAATAGTTGTTCTTAAGTTAAAGGCACCTTTTTTACTTATTTTTCTGTGAAATAAATCAAGAATAACAAAAACTGTAAATAACGTGGAGGAGTTTTTTAACATACCTGACGATTTCCGTTTATTCACAATGAACAATATAGTGTGCAGTAATATTTACTCCAATATAGACAAAACTAAATTTTCAGCAAGTTCACTATAAAAGTAACAAATACACATATTGGTTATTACCAAAATAAATATTGCAGCAATTTCATAGAATGTTTTAAAGTTTGAAACGCCATTTCATTTCAGCTTTCTAAAAAAATCGCCACAACAGTAACATGTATCATTAATAATTTTTACTTTCCTATCTGTATACAGATATAAGGAAAGTATAGGAATCATGATTTTTTTCGACCTCGAGTTTTCGACGGATTTTTACGTTTTGAGGTCCCCTGAATCCGTTTTGACTATTTTCGCGATGATGTCTGTGTGTGTGTCTGTGTGTGTGTCTGTGTGTGTGTGTGTGTGTGTGTGTGTGTGTGTGTGTGTGTGTGTCTGTATAACGCATAACTCATGAACCGATACACAGAAAAACACCAAATTTTAAACTTAAGCTTTGTTTCAGCGTCTAATGAGCTGATTAGATTTTGGGCAGAGTCGGAACATTTGGGGGGGTACTTTATAGGTGGTCATTTTTATATTTTATGGAATATATCTGTTATTTACGTTTGGAGAAGAAAATTCTTTAAATAAAAGTTACTTCTAATATTATTATCTATAATTATTGTTCTATACAAAATTTTCCTAAAATGGTCCGTATTCGAGAAATTTGACAAAATGTAAAAAAAATATTTTTTTATAAAAATTGTTCAAATAAAAGTTGTTTGTATTATAATTCTCTATAATTTTTATTCTCTACATAATTTCTCTAAAATGGACCGTATTCGAGATATTTGAGAAAATGTGTAAATTTCGAATTTTGAAGAAAACTCAAAAACGGATAAAGAAAAAAACATTAAATTTTAAACTTAAGGTTTATTTCGGCCTGACGTGAAATGATTAGATTTTGGACAAAGTCGGAACATCTGGGGGGGTACTTTATGGGAGGCCGTTTTTATATTTTATGGAATATATCTGTTATTTATGTTTGGAGAGGAAAATTGTTCAAATAAAAGTTACTTCTAATATTATTATCTGTAATTTTTGTTTTATGTAAAAATTTCCTGAAACGGCCCGTATTAGAGAAATTTGACAAAATGTGCAAAATTCTGATTTTTATTATGAAAGTTTTTGAAATAAAAGTTGTTTGCGATATCGATCTCTATAATTTTTGTTTATACATGATTTTTCTAAAATGGACCGTAATGAAAAAATTGTAGGAAATTAAAATTTTTCAGTATTTTCGTTTTCTATGAATATCTATAGAAAAATGTTTCGAGGTAGATATATGTGGACAATGTATATATTTAGTTTATCCTCTAAACATTTATATAACTAGATAGGAAAGTCATGTGTTGGACACATCAGATTTTTTTTTTTTGGTAAACTAGTCATCGCTGGATGAAGTTTAAAATAGTAATTAGGATGTGTACAAAATACTGTACTTTGTGAGTAAAGTGGATAGAAGCATTCTACAAATTAGTTAGGTTTTACGTAAAGTGCTGTACCTTTTCTGGTCCTCTGCCCCTTTAGAAGAAAAATATTTCCAGCGCCCCTCCGAAACAAAAAACATGTAAAACCTTTGTAACAAAAAATTAACTTTTTTACAGAAATCTAAACAAAAAACAAGTGGTAATTTTGTATATGAACTATTCAAATATTGTTGCATATTATCGGTACTTTATTTATCTG